CAACTGGAACCCACCCACTAATATAGTTGAGGTACCTACTTTCCTTGGCTTAACAAGTTATTACGACAATTCATTGACGGATTTTCTAAGATTGTTGCTCCATTGACTCGATTCACTCAAAAGGGCGTACCTTTTATCTAGAATTACGAATGTGGTGAAATTTTTATGGAATTAAAGTATCATCTTACCTCTGCTCCCATGTTGATCCTCTTTGACAATACTAGAAGATTTCAGGTATACTGTGATGTGTCTCATATTGCCTTGGGATGCGTTTTGATGCAGCATTATAGAGTGGTCACTAATGGATCCAGACAGTTAAAACCCCATAAACGAAACTACCCTACTCACGACCTAGAGTTGGCAACCATTATCTTTGTCTTGAAGATATGGCATCATTACCTGTTTGGTCAGACCTTTAAAATTTACACTGACCATAAAAATTTAAAGTACATCTTTTCACAGAGGAAGTTGAACATGAAACAAAGACACTGGATGGACCTCCTGAAGGATTACAACTGCAAGATCATCTACCATCCCAGTAAAGGGAATGTAGTCGTTGATGCGTTAAGCTAAAAGGAGTCTGCAGTGTTGGCCCAAACCATGGCCTCTAGTTGGAAGTTAGTAGATGCTATGGAGGCACTCTGCATCAATCACTATGGCAATGGTACCTATTTCACTCATATCCGAGCTTTACCTGATCTTTTCATGAAGATTTGGGAAGCTCAGTCTGTGGACTAAGAAATCACTAAAAATTTAAGTAAGTTCTCTTCTGACGAGTTTCCTAATTCTAAACTCTTAGATGATGGGTTGTGTAGATTCTGGGACTAAATTTAAGTTCTTGTCACTATCAAGATGGATATTCTCAAGGTTGCCCATGCCTCCAAATTGTCCATCCACCCCAGGAATACCAAGATATACCAGGACTTAAAGCGTTAATAATGGTGGCCGAGAATGAAGGACATTATTGGCTACGTCTCCCAATGCCTTACTTGCCAGTGAGTTAAGGTAGAACACCAGAGACTCGGTAGTTTGTTATAAGGCCTCTCGATTCTAGAATGAAAGTAGGAGCATGTAACTATGGATTTTGTCACCAAACTACCTAGGACTTGTTCTAAACGTAATACTATTTGGGTCATCATTGAAAAACTAAACAACACTACCCATTTCTTTCCCATCAGGACCACCGACTCCACCAGTAAATTAAGCCACATTTATGTCGATGAAATTATTTGACTCTATGGTGTTCCCTCATCCATTGTGTCCCATCGAGATCCTCGATTCACCTCCCACTTTTGGGATAACTTTCAGGAAGCGTTTGGGTCTGGATTGTACTTCATCACTACCTATCATTCTCAGACTGATGGTCAGTCTAAACGTACTATCCAGACACTTGAAGACATATTGCGCTTGTATCATTGACTTTGGCGATAACTGATATGAGTATCTTCCCCTGTGTGAATTTATTTATAATAATAATTATCATTCCACCATTGGCATGACTCCGTATGAAGCCTTGTACGGTAAACCTTGCCATTCTCCCACTTGCTGGAGTGAAGTCGAAAACCAACGTCATTTGGGACCAGACATCATCCAGAAGACTATCGAGAAAGGTGCGATCATCTGTAAGAATTTGGCTATTGCCCAGAGTCACCAGAAAAGTTACACCGTTAGAGACCAAGTTTTTCTTAAGATTTTCCCCTACAAGAAACAAATGTGGTTTGGAAAAGGAGAAAGTTGAGCCCCCGTTCTGTGAGATCTTTTCTGATCGTGGAGCGTATTAGACTCATGGCGTACTGCCTTACTCTGCCTCAAGAGTTTGCAGGTCTACATGATGTTTTTCACGTCTCCATGCTCAAAAAGTACCACCCTGACCCTTCTCATATCATTCCTCACGATAAGATGTAGGTGCAAACTGATATGACTTATGAGGAACTCCTCGTAGAAATTCTTGATTGGACCGTTAAAGCTTTATGCAACAAGACAATCCCCATGGTGAAGGCGCAGTGGCAGCACCACACTCCGGAAGATGCGACATGGTAGTTGGAAAGCGAGATCAGAGAGAAGTTCCCAGATCTACTTGAAACAAATTTAGGGGACCAAATTTTTTAAGGTGGGGGGAATATAACACCCCGCTCACTACTGCACTAAATTTGTATTTGGAAACCCCTATTTATTTAGGGCTTAAAGCTACTTGAACTCATTTAAATTTATCTTGTAAGCTTTATATTATAATTTGTGATTTAAATTCATGATTTTAATTTTATATTGATTTCATTATTTTATTTTTATTTTTATTTAAAATAATTTCCATAGAAAAACGAAAAATGGTGTGAAATCCCGCAAGAAAATGCCTGCGGGAGAGGTTTGCCCATACAGGTGCGGCATGCTGTGCGCGGGTATGTGCACGCGACCAAGCACAAGACATGCACACTATGCGCACATCTTAACGCGGGCCACGGGGCCGGTCTACATGCGCATCATGTCGCACGACCTACGCGGGGCACAGGGCCAGTCTGCGCGCGCGTCACGTCGCGCGCAGTAAGCCTGTGCATAACAGGGTAGGCCGGTGCCTACAGGCTAGGTCTCCAGCGCGCGGCTGGCCTAGTAGCGCACTACCACCTCGGGTAGTGTGTCGCCACCCCCTTGGGCGCTATGCACTGCCTTGGGCAGTGTGCCACCACCCCCTTGGGTGCTGTGCACTGCCTTGGGTGGTGTGTAACAGCCTTGGGTGGAGAGCCGCCATTGGTGGAGGAATTCTTCCTCTATGTTTCGCACTACCGTCACATTGCGTCAAATCACTCATCTTCCACTCAACCTTCTCTCTCCACACCGGACTTTGCCACTTGGCACAAATCCAATAATTCCTATTTTTTATAAATAGGGACCTCGTTCTTCCATTTTTCCTCATCACTTCCATTTCATTCTCTCATTTTTCAAGAGCTTAGAGAGATAAGAAGTTATCTATAGAGAGAAGGTGAGGAGAAGAAGAAGAAAAGTGTAGAAAATCTTCGAGTTTTTAGTAAGGAACTTAGTATTTCCTTAAACATCTTAAGGAGTATTTCTAGAAAATCAAATTATGAAGTTTGTATTTCGTGTTTTATGTTTTGCATGTTTTATGTTTAATAAGTGATTTGTTCTTGATTTCAAGCATCTATGTGATATTATAAGCACTTAATGATTTGCATGTAAATTAAATAATATAAATTCGGTAATAATTTTTTAAAATATATATAAAAAGAAAAAGAAAGAAAGACAAGGGGAATGAGTTTGAATGGTCTGAAAAATACATATATGTGTATTGACATGCATAATGCATCAAGTATCTTGTTAGACTTTTTATCTCTGAGAAATATCTGTTCCCCTCCCCTAATCCGGTCTGAAAAGACATGAGAGGACTGCTCCCTGTAGATGATGGCGTACCCTCTGATGTGAGCAGTGATGCGAATATCTGTCAGTGGTCACCTTTGGCTAAGTACTACCGTGATTATAGAATATCTTATGGGATCACTGTGGTTGGTACGGTTGTGGTCATAAATTGTACAATGATTTGCAAGCCAGAAATGTGTTTGAGCAAATTGCCGTTATATATCTTATCTAGTCATTTCACGTTGGTAGTCAAAAATCTGTATTAGCCATCAGAGATGGAAGTTGGAACGAATTCGCGAAATATAAAACGAAAATCTAAATATTTCATGATTTGTTTGATTTTCTTTGTCAGAAGACGAGTTAGAGTCTAAGTCAGGGTGTGTGAGTCATTGATCTTCTTTCATTCTGTTGTGAGATTTAGTCCAATCTAATATGTTATGTTATGATGTCTTTAGGCTATGGTACAATTTGCATGATGGTTTTGGGTTTGGGTCCTTTAATAATATAAAATGTGGAGAGATGAAACGAATTAGTCTTAATTGGTAAGTTATCTGAATATTTCACTGTTGAATAAGTATTTGTTTTTAAACGGGGTTGTATGGTTTAATTACTATCTGTCTTACTGAGTTTATTAGAACTCACCCCAATCTAACCTCCCCCCAGATGATGACTTTACAGACATCTCTGATGATCCTTGTTTGGAGCCGTTCCATGATGCTTAATAGGAGCATTAGAATACTTCCCTTTTCGTATTTTGTTTTTGATAGGCTAGCTTTTTATAAATCTATAACATTTATATGTAGGATTTGATATCCTAGTGCCTAAGTACACTATTGTTGTAGTTAATGTAAGGGATGAATATTTTGAATTTTTTTATTTAAATGCATTTTTTAGTCTACTCAATTAGACATCGGCGCCCAATTGGAGTCAGGTCATCAAAAATTGTTTTCAATTCCTAAAAAATATATTTGTCATGCATTCATCTCCAATACCTAAAAAGAAATGATATTTTCATGCATTCACCTTTAATATGTAAAAAAGTACGACACGATCGATAACCATTAATTTGTTTTAGTAAGATATTTACAATGGGTTAAAAAACTTAAATGTAACTTCTTTTTCAAGAAAAAAAAATCATAACTATAAAATTAAGTGATAAACTTTTATTATTAAATCTAAGCCACGTTAGTGACTCAGCCAACAAATTATCACCAATTACTAATCCTTATTTTCTATAAAAAAAATAATAACAACAATAATAATAAGTACTAACCTTTACATTGTGGAATGAAACAGTAAATGAGATTACCCATATTAATATTAAACTTTGGATATTAAATTTTTCCTTTTGTTTTTTCTTCTTCTCAAGAAAGTATATTTTTTTATTTTTCTCTTGTTAGGGCTCAACTTACCAGAAAACAAATAACAAATAACTTCAAATATCATTAAGAAAATTTATTCTAGCGGTCAATTAAGTATTTGGGAGTATTTCATTAATATTACAATAGAAAAGTAAGTATGAAGAGTTTGGTAAAACGAAAAAAACCCCAAAGTATAACAAACCTTTTATAGTAGACAAAAAGTCACCAACATAACAACCATAGTCAAGCAGAGAGTAACAGTGGGAACTAGAATGTCTCCAAAAAATGACTTTCCATGTTCATAACCTCCCAGAAAGCAGTCCAAACAGAGATTAGTAAAAAAAGTCAGTTACAGAAGTAAAATTTTTCTCCAGTCCGAATCAGCTAACCATAAGATTTTTTTGCGATGCGAAGCATAGAAAACTAGTCAAATGGAAACAAACTTACAAGTTTTTGTAGTGTCTGGAATTGGAGAAACTCCAAATAACTCATTGATAAACAATTATTATAACAACAGGATGGCTCAACGCCATAAAATTCAATGTTTTCTGCCCTCTCAAGCATGCACCAAAACCATCTTATGTGTCACAAGCATGGGAAGCTCCTCCTGATTAACTCGATAATGGATAAAAAAACAGAGGAAGCTCCTCCTGATTAACTCGATAATGGATTAAAAAACTAAGGAAGTCCTGATTAACTTGACAAAGAACTTTTCAACATCTACAACTTTCTATATCTACCACAAAAGCAGAACTGTACTGTTCAGCAACTATAAACCTGTACCTAGTTCTTTAAAGCACTGCACATTCTGAACTGTATGTTTATTTTCACTTGGTATAATCATACCTTGTACTGACAAGATACTTATCAGTAGCCAGTTGCATGATCACGTGTGGACTAGTAGTATCTCAAGGACATTTTGATTTTAAACATGGGACAACATTTAGCCTAGCAGATCTTTGAACAAATTAGGATTATGACTTGATGGAGTCACACCCATCTGCCTCACCAGCGCATCCTTCTCTATGGAATCTTTAGCGTTTGGCCCTTTACCAAATTGTGTTTGTTGCATTACTGTACTTCCTCCAAGAGCAGGTTGGCTTACCGCATTTGTAAATCCAGATAAAATGTTGGTATCATCCATGGTAGATGGTAGTGGACTAACAGTACTACTAACCTGATCTCCATATAGTGCCATGATATCAGGTGCTTTAGTAGCGCCACCATGATTTATGCTTGAAGTAACTTGGGTTGGGTCAAGAAGCCCTTCCAGTTGTTTAAATGGATCCACAGATAGGGCACTACTGGTAACTGTTGGTTCACCCAAGTCAAGCAAGTCTGGAGGAGGTTGCACAGTTATTGTCCTCTCTGCCGAAATATCATTTGCAGAAACAACTGCTCCCTTCGATACATTAGCTTTCTCTGCAGAATAAGTGCTTGTCTTGGGCACTTTATGGCCAGTAGAAGTCGATCTCTTGTCACCTTTCAATGGACCCCCAAAAAGTGAAGCAGCAAGCTTCTGCTTTTCTGGATTAATTTCAACTGATGATTTCCTTGAATCATACGTATCATGTGTTTTTGAACTCACCGTGCCAGCCCCATTGGTTTGTGTTATGCCATTCGCCGTCTTCTGAATAGGAGACTCCAATGTAGATGGTGCAGGAGTTGAGTATGCTGACCTACCCCACTTCTTTTGCACCCCGTCCAACCGAAGCTTAACTTCCGATGATCCTGCATCTGACACAGATGTCTTGGTTGTCGCCAGCTGTGTCTCCACATAATATAAGGGTTCAGCTGCTGGAACAAGTTCAGTTGAGGATGCAAGTGAAACCGAAGGATTCCTTAATGGGACTGAGATCTTTGGGAGCTCGTATGCTTCAAATCGAAGACCATGAGATGAGGTTTCATGATGATCATGGGCCCAGATATTGCTCGTATTTAATGTTCCAGAACGCTCATTCTCAGGAATATAGGGCTGAGCTCCCCTTTCCAGGGAATGCTTGACGTAACTGTCAAGAAATGAAAGGTTTTTATCAACCTGCAATTAGATTTATGTTAGAATTCTTGCATGACATCATGAGAAGTATGATAAAAATAAAAATAAACACAAGGCCTTGCCAGGAATACATATATAAACAGTACAAGGAGAATAGATTCTTCAGTTCACACGCACAGAAAAGTCAGTTGCTTGCTCTAGGGGTTTGTCACACATCTCTCCATTACAGACATATATACTATTCCAAAAAGTGCCCTAAAGTTGAAAGGAGATAATGCAAAATTCAACTTTAAACAGCAGGAAAATACAACCAGAAGATATACTGAGATTGAGATCATAAAAAAAGTAGCATAAAATATTTCTTTCCAATTGGTTTAATAGCATAGCTAGATAGTACAAGTCTATAAAAACTGTTGCTAAAATATTTATGCTCGTTTTGTTTATTTCTCATTTAATCTCTAGGTAATTTTTTCATTTTCACAACCTTAATACGAACATAATTATAATATGATTTTTTGTAGTTGACTCAGAACCCTGAGAAATTCAAGGTGAGAGTAGAGATAGCTCAAACATAAAGAGTTATATTCGATTGATATTTACTAAAGCTAACATAAAACTAGAACTGGAAATCAGTTTAGCATTAGATAGAAAATATACCAAAAAGGTTTTTTACCTGGTTATTAAAAAAACCAATGTTTTTAGACTTATGGCACATTTAGTTCAATCTTAGTAAAACCTGTTCATATTCCTTTAGTTAATTACAAGATTAATCTTAATGACTGAGTTGACTTACTTTTCGGGAAAACAAGGACTGAATTGCTTCTTAATTTCATCTTTGATTCCCTCCACTCACACTGTAATTACATGTGGAAGTAGAACTTGGAAATTCATCCAAGGAATTTGAGGTGACAGCTGAAGTTAAACAAATTGGATTATAACTACAAAAGGAGGACACAGTTCATCTTAAAAAGATACTGTTCATAGGCGGAATTCTATGAACTAAAACCCTTCCCAGGAAGAAGTATGGATTAAAGTCTATCTCACCCAATAAATTCAAGATGGTAGGATTGCTCAACATTGAAGAGAAATATAAGTTTGAATTATACATGCCAAGACTGCTGTAAAATAAAGAGTAAGAATTAACTAAAGCCAGAATGAAAATAAAACCAAAGATATCTTTATAGTTACAGTTTAAACCAAAGCACAGATTCACTATGTTCGTACAAAAACCTACCAAATTAATGCCTTAGCATCTTGTCTTCTCTTTCTAATCTAAACCACCAAGATAATAAACATTGTCTCAAGCCTTGAACCTCCGAACAAAAGAATTCAAGCTGTAGCATTTTAACAGCCACATTTCTAGAAAAACTCATGTCCCATATTATTCAGTTTTTTAAGAAACTCTTCACATCCTATCCAATTCAATTCCAACCTAACTAGACCAATGGAAAGAAG